GTTACCATTTCCCTCCCCTTCCCAACACTTGCCTGTCCTTTTTTCTTGGGGTGCCTCGTCTCATCATTTTCTTCGATGACACTTGTCACGTCACCAACAGTATTGATGACTACCCAGTGGGTTATGGTCTGGTGGGAGCTCAGATTACTGATTTTCATCATCACTGGCGTCCTTTCATCAAGGATCATTGGGTTCTTCAAGTTTTATCAGAAGGATTCTTTATCCTGTTTTTCATCCACCTCTCACGTTTCCTATATTCATTTCCTTCCCCCTGCCTCAGGATCTCATGACCAGTCAGCATCTGTTGGAGGTGGTTCAGGAACTACTATCTCAGCAGGCCATTGAACCTGTTCTGCATCCTTCACCAGGTTTTATTCCAGACTCTTTGTTGTTCCCAAGAAAATCAGGGACTGGAAGCCTGCCATTGGTTTGTCCTGCCTCAATCTATTCGTTCAACTGCCCCATTTTACCATGGAGTTATTTCTCACCCAATGGTGGGCATTTTTTTCAGGCTTATGGATGACCAAGATAGATTTCACCAATGCTTATCCCCATGTCCCTATATCACCACTCATCCATATCTTTGGTCCATCCATCACAGGGTGGTTTGTCAATTTTGTGGCCTACCCTCTTGGCTTGCTTCTGTCCCTAATGTTTTCTGTTGGGTGGTCAGAGCTTTTTCTCACCATCTTCATGCTCTGGGGGTTGTGATTCCACCATTATATGGATGGCTGGATTCTTCTGGCTCATTCTGAACTAGTCAGCCAGCCATACTCGTCAGCTCCTTCTAGTGACTGCTTGGGTGGGCTGATTAATCAAATTGAAGAAGTCCTTTCTCTGACCTACTCAATATATCATTCACTTGAGTGTCTGATTTTGACAGTCATCTCAGTCGTGGCCCAAACTTTTCCTCTAAGACTTCATTCTATGGAACTGTTAATTCACCATGCCCTTTCAGCTCCCTCACTTTCTGCTATGAGGTTCTATTGTTTGGGGGATGTGATCTTTAATGACGTGAACATATGTGATCTCTTCAGGGCTCTTCATGATCAATGGAACCTTGCTTGGAATCCCTTGTCGCCTCTCATTACCCTTCCTCCTACCCTGATGAACGATCTGCATTGGTGGTTGAACAAGACCCATACATCAGCAACCATCCCGCTTCCTCTCCTCTTCCTCATCCAGATTTACGTATTTTCATGGATGCATCCGTTCAGGGCTGGGGTGCATGGGCCAATTACCAGGAGGCTTCGGGTCATTGGTCTATAGGCAAAAAATCTTTGCATATCAACATCCTCAGGTTTCTCACAGTCCATTTGGCTTTCAATCACTTCCTTCCTCTTGCCAGACATTGTCTAGTGATGATTCATTCTGACAATTCTATGGTGGTAACACATGTCACTCACCAAGGGGGCATCCGGGTGAGAGACATCTGTTTTCAAATGTGGATCTACTATATTGGGCCCACATGCACCACGTTCATTTCATTGCATGTCACATTCTGGGTGCTTTCAATCTTAAAGTAAATTGTCTTTCCCACCCCAATGAAATATATTCGACAGAGTGGTCTTTAGATCCCCTCATTTTCTGGTGGCATTGTAATCAGTGGGTTTTTCCATATACATATATAGATACATTTGCCACATACCTCAAACACGAGTTACCCCTCTTTTGGTCCCCGGTTTCTCATCTTTGGGCTCTGTCTGTTAATGCCTTCAGCCAGGATTGGTCCCACAAATTTCTTTGTTTATCCTCCTATCCGATTACTTCATCGGGTGATCTCTCTCATTCATACCACTCCATGTCGATTCCTTCTGATTGCTCCTTATTAACTAGCTCAACCATGGTTTCCATGATTACAACTTCAACTTTTCCCTTCAGTACTTCTACCTTTGTCTTCCTCCTCTATTCGTCAACCTCAGTCACTGGTTCTAGATCCATCCATTCATGTCCTTCATCTTCACACTTAGCTTTTATCCGATCCTTGGCGAATAGATCAGGTTTCTCACATTGAGTAACTTTCCTTTTAGCTCATTCCATATGTTCTTCTTCAAGGGAGGTGTATCAGCACAAATGGAAAGTGTTCTGCAATTGGTCTGCGACTCTGGAATTCCCCGATGACCTACATACTGTAGCTCAAGTGGCAGTTTCTCACATGGCTTTTTGACCAGGGGTCTTTAATCTCCTCACTCTCTGGTTATCAAGCTGCCTTATCCCATGCCTTTCATTTTTCTCAATACCATCAAGTTTTTGCTTCCTCTGTCTTTACCATATTTAATGCATTCCTTCCAGATTTGTCATCCCCCAAAGACTGCATACTCTTCCCGACTGGGATATTAATGTGGTCCTCCATTCCATCACTTTACCTCCATTTGAACCACTTTCCTCATGATCCATGTTTCACCTTTCCCTTAAAATGTATATCCTTCTCCTCTTAGCCTGTGGACATCAAAGGTCTGATTTGTTTGTCATTGACGTTTCATGTATGCTTTATCACCTTACCTGTCTTCTTCTTTATCCAAATTATTCCTTCCTCCCAAAGACCTTGGTGGCTAGGAAGGGTAATTCCTTCTTTTTGCCTATTTCCCTTCCTTCTATTTCACATCTCTACTCTTGTGTCAGTTCAGGTAGACTTCTGTGTCCATTCCATACTCTTTGTTGTTATATTGCTTTCATGGCTTCCTTCAGTGGTATCTGTTCCCGACTCTTTATACCTTGGCAGTCTTTCTCTGTTCGTGATCTTTTCCCTTCCATCCTCACCAATTGGGTTAAACTTTTGATTTGATTGGCTTATTCATCCTTGTTTTCTTCCTCTTGGAATTTTTCTGGGTGTCTTCTCATCAGAATCGACACCTCACCTTTTCCCTCACACCTAGTCTTTGTCGGGCATTGTAGGAAATCCTACAGGGCATGTGGACTACACCTAATATGCTTGTCTCACTTTATTTACACCAAATCACAGTTTCTTCTTCATTGGGCTTTTGTCTTCCACTTGTGGCTGTTCTTCAGGCTTCAGTGTGACTTTGACTGGGTAAGTTTATATTCATACTTTTCATTTCAGGGGCCCTTGCTTCATTTACTCATTATATGGATCTTACTCTGTGGTGAGTGGTGCGTGACCAGGTATTCTTCAACTTGCAATCTGCATGTTGACTTGTGCTTTATCTTCCATGGCTTTGCATTGCTCACTGTTGAGATGAGGTGTTCCAAAAGATCACTTGTAGACGAATAACCTTGCAATATAATTGCTTCATAAACTTGCCTGTACCACCCATGGACTGCATGGGTAAAGCAGAAGGGGATAGCTGCCCATGCCTTGTATTGAATAAATCAGTATGGTCTGCTGTTCAGAATTGGGTTTCATGGTCACTCATTACACTGTTTCAGATGGTGACGTTGCTCTGGATTCTTCACCGCATTCTCACCCCCTTTCTTCTAGTGGAGTGTGGGAGTCCTTACCACTTTCTAGTTCCAAGCCGCTGGGGTGGTCGACTGTGAAAGCACCCTCCTGAATGGGTTCCACATACAGATTTGGATTTTCACCCTCAACATTCAAAATAATACGCATGCAAGTTCTTTGAATTCTGCACATGAAATTTTATTGTAAACTGTACGATCTGTTGAAGAGCGCTAGCTCAAAACGTTATCCTACTTTTAATAATAAAGGCGATTGTTCAACCTATTGTTGTGCCCTAGCCACTCTACACCTAGAGGCACATCTATTGTTTTACCCACTTTCATACTTCGTGGGATTGAGTTACATATATATTTAAATGGCTAGGATCACTGTTTTGCCACCGTTATCTCCCACTTGGATGTGATCCTCTCTTTTTCCGCCTTTATCTACTACACATTTCATGGATGGGCGAAGAGTATACCTGGCTCAGAAGTGGTGCGGTTCCCTTCATCAGATCCTCAGATTTGACTCTCTCATTTACATGGGTATCCTTTGGACGCTTACGGAGGATACATACTTCCGTCATTTCCTCCCATCTGTCCCGCAACCTATTCAGTGTGGGATTCTAGCTAATCTTGTGAGAGGAGAGATGTACTGTATCAGAAGTTATAATTTTCCTATACTGAAAATGTATGTCCGATAGGTACTTCCCTCCCCTCCCACTTTCCTTTGGTGCTTATGTCTTCTGCCAAACCTCAAAGTGATAGTTTGGTAGAGGCATATAGAGGGAGTCCCTTGTGTTACATGAGTATGTCATGCTCATATTGGTGGGAAAATGATGCATGATAATTTACACGAGAGACATGTTGGAATCATTAAATTCCAATAGAGGGGGAAGCAGAAAGCTTGTGGCATTTGTAAAGAAATAAATTGCATATAGGGGGCAGCACTAGAGAATAATAGCTAATCTTGTGACAGGAGAGAAGTACCTATTGGAAATTATAACGTTAAGTTCCCTGAAGTTGTTTTCTCTTGAAAAAATAAGAGTTAGAGGGGATTGGATTGAGGTGTTTGAAATTAGAAAGGGAATTGATAGTGTTCATGCATCATCTTTTTTCACAGTTGATGCTGAGAATAGTAGGACTAGAGGACACGTATAGAGTTTGGCAAAGTAGAAATCATCTTCAGCCAAGACAGTTTTATTTTTTAACAGCATGGTTGGCCTCTGGAATGGGTTGCCTTTGGATGTTGTGGAGGCACTAAATTTAAGTTTAAGAGAAAACTTGATAACTATATGAATGATAAGGGCTGGCTTTAAGGTTATTTTATTTTATTTATTTGATAGTTTTAGTTTAGAGGATGGGAAAGCCAAAATGAATTAGTAGGTCCCTTGTTGTCCCAAAACAATATGTTGTATTATGTTAATACAGACATTTAATTTGTTTAGACATGAAAAAGTATATAATAATACAACTTGTTACCTATAATGTTTTTTATAACTCAAAATTTATAACTTATTGTACATGTAAGAACATTAAAAGAAAGAAAAAAAAATTGAAACATTTTTTTTCATGCTTTAAAATTGTTTCTCGTCACCTTTCAGCTTCTGAACCCCAGCTAATGTTGACTGCTGGCCCAGGTATGATCGGACCAGGATACCAGCCTTTTAACCAGTCTGTACCTGGTTACCAGGGTTATGGGATGTAGATCAATACCACCCATTTCCTCTGAACTTCAGAAAGAACAACTTGCTGGCACAAGGCTAAAAGTTTGAGTGAACATTGCTTCAGGGAGTAGTTAAGGCCTTCCTCAATTTTTTTCTGTCTGTTGAAGATTTAAAAACCTTTAATTGTGGGTATTATTGCTTACACTAATTTGTTCTTCCACAAATAAAGCTTCTTTTATGATTTCCCAATTTAATCAACTGTATTTGTTTTAGTATGAAATTTTGAAATGTTTTGTGTCCAACATCAGGGGGCACTGTTAACTAAAGCAATGAGCAGGACCATAAGATTAGGTGACTGCTTTGTTTTGTTATTTTTGCAAGCAGTAGCACAAGTGTAAGATCTGAAGATTTTTTTTTTTCATCAATTAACCATCAAAATTCTTGAGATGTGTAAATTTTAGAGCCTTGGTCATTTTGTAATGTTAGAAATGTTTGTATTGAACATATGGTAAACTGTGAAAGCACTGTGGAACAAAATTCTTTATTCTAAGTATTTATCTGAATCCCGTGATTGTTATTACTGTTATTAAACCAAAAGGTTTGTAATTTTAATAGTTTGAGCCTTTCTTACTGTTGTGAATCTTGATTTCAGTTTGTAATGAAATATAGTTTATGTTTTAAAACTCCTTATAGTCCAAAAATATCAAACATTATTTAATTATCTTACAGTAAAACAATGTTTTGAAGTATTCTGTTATAACGTGTGGAAATGAGAAGTGGAGGATGTATACAATTTAAGTCCTATTTAAAGCTTTTGAATTTTATCTATTGATGTACATCAAAGCAGTAGGTTCATATAGAATAAAGAAAATGTTTGTTAGTAGAAGGTTTAACCATGTAGTTTAAGGTGTTCAAGATTTTAAAGTATGGTCAACACATTTAGATTATTCAACTCTGTAATAGCAAAGGATTTGTGGAAAAGTAAATGTATTTCTGGATGTGGATTAGAATAATGACCTCTGTAATGGAAGATCAAGACCATAAGGGAAACTATTTCCTCATATTTTCCATAAACAAATTATTATTCATTCTTTTCAATCACCACCATTAAGTACGTGCTAATCTCTTTTTGTTAACTGTGTTTTCCTACCTAGATACATTTGAAAATATCATTGTTTAATCAGCCCTAACAATGTGTTAGGTGTATGTTAATGCATTTATCCTAGTCTCACCAGAGTGAGATCATGAAATTAATAAATCTGTAATTAGTCAGCTTTGTTTTATTAATTTGTTTTGGTGTTAAAGAATGATTTTTGAGTTTTTTTAATGAAAAAAACAAACTTGTCAATAATAACGACAATGGTTGCAAAAATCATATTTCGGTGTTCTCAAGTAGTTAGTCACATCAAACCAATATTAATATCATTGATGGATAATGTTATTTAGGTATGAAATAACTAATTTTTGCAGAAACTTTTTTTTTATTACACTTCTCCCTCATGAGACTTGACACATGAATCACATATATCAGGGTGGGGCATGGCCAGGTGGTTAGGGTGCTCGACTCACAATCTGTGGGGCCCACCAAACATGCTTGCCCTTTCATCCATGAGAGCATTATAATGTGATGGTCAATCCCACTATTCGTTGGTAAAAGAGTAGGCCAAGAGTTGGTGGTGGGTGGTGATGATTAGCTGCCTTCCCTCTAGTCTTAAATTGCTAAATTAGGGATGGCTAGCACAGATAGCCCTTGTGTAGCTTTTTGCGAAGTTCAAAAACAAACACGTATATCGATTTAATTTTTACATTTTATTTCGTGAGTTGTTTAAAGAATTAAATATTTGTATTGTCTTTAAGTAATATACATTGTACATAAGTGATCAGAGATGTAGTTTGTATGCCTTTGGCAGCATACAGTGGCCCTAAAAAAATTACCATCTTATTAAAACAATGAAATATAGATTAAAGCTTGAGACATTGAAAACCTCATAACACAGATAACTGAAGCACTTCCCAGAATAGAATAAACTTACAGAATTCGATTGTGATGCCATTTATATCAGTGTGTCTAATCCTTTTTCCTCATCATTTTAAATAATCAGTAATTTTAATAGTATTGTCTTCTGAAACATTTTTGTTGGGTGTCATTTTATTTTTTTAATAACAATTCTCTAAATGTAAAATATTAACTCAAAATATTCTTACCTAACGTAAACGTTTATCATCCAGAACTAGTGATCACAATTATTACGATTTAAAATGACAGAGTTAAATTAATAATTTTTCGACACATCTCACGATGCAGGTATTTCATTTTCCTGGTTTTATCATCTGTCCGCATGTTATAATTTATTATGCAGTTACTAGAGCCTATATTTCTTTTGTTATAAAAGTTTTTACATAACCATTAATCATATAGTCTTGGTAACAAATGAAGAAAAGAGAAAGTGTCATTTTTGTGCTAAATATCAATATATCCATGGAAATATTGATTCAAACCACACTCGTTCCGTATTTCCATTCACTTACTGTTCAAGATAAGGCATTGCTCAACTTCAAAGTTCAAGAAAAACTGATGATGATTTCACAACTTTGACACTAAGAAATATATATATATGAAACTTACTATCGAACTTTGTCAAATTTATTTGTATCTATTTGCTTAGGAAAGAAAAAATCCCACTTGAAAAACACACACACGTTTAAAGCCAGGAGTGTAAGGCTGGCAAAAAGTAATGCTCATTTCAGACATTTGTGGGATATGGTTTAAGATTATCCTTTGCAGTTTTAAGTATTTTATGGGTTAAAGCATGGAGATCCTGTTTATTTAGTAGTGGCGTGAACAGAGGAGGGCCGTGACTGGTGAACTCAAGCCCCTGCCTCTCTGTTTTGATGCCTCAAAAATGTCCTTTTTCTCAGTCATAAAAGTTGTCGGTACTTACTAAAAGACACCTGAATCCACACCTTACTTAATGCAAGTTATTAAAAGAAAGAAAAAAAAATCAGCTTTCAAATGAATGGCATACAAGAACTTGTAGGTCTTTACAATAAAAAAACAAACAGAAAAGGGAATCCTCAATACCCGCGGCACTTGAATTTTTTTCTTCTTTTTTTTTTTTGCTTTTTATTAGCTATATTTGTGTGTGCTAGAAATACCAAGCGTGGGGCGCGCGTATTTTCGATTCGATTTTATTACTCATCGGGGTTTCTACCAGCCTACCCTCAAATTAAATTTATTTTAAATAGGATTAGAGTAAATTAATCTATGAGGCCTTGTGCGTGGTCAAATACATCAATCGAAAAGGGGTTGACTTCCTCAGTCCAAAACCGTAATTAAATCTCAAATCGGTCAAGATATGAGCTAAAAGTTTGTAGTTGAAAAACTCGGAGCCATTCTATGAGCCGCTATGCCGCGGCTAAAAAATGTGATGTGCTTTTAAGTGTTAATACGCAACAATTCACTGCTTAGTTTTATATTCTAAGTGTTTATAAGGACGATTGAATAGGAATAAAAGAGGATCTGTCTGCTTTTAACGGCTTTCTATCTTATGTGTACCCACAGTCCTCATAGTCTCACCCCTAAAAAACAATTTGCGTTACGATGCTCAAAAACTACTTTTTTGTCAATTAGCCTGTTCTTTTAATATCCTCTGTATGTTACTGTTATTTAGTATTTCTATGGATTAATGTCTGTTGTATAGGTAAGCGTCAGGTACTGAAGAAGAGGATGAGTTGAATAAGTTTTTAATGGACAAATTAAGAGAGATGTGGCGTAAAAAAATATCTCTAGTTTACCTTGTTTTTAATGTTTCGGCGTTTAAACCGTAACTTAATTTTATAGTACAGAGAGAAGTGAGGAACGCTTTTCAGCTATAAGAAAACCCCACTTTTACAGTGTGCAATTAAAATGTTTATTTATTTTTTTTCAAAAACTGAAAGGTGGTCCTTGAAATAGATAAATAATTATACCAGTACCTTCGACAAATAGGTAACTGTCAATTTATGCTCTGTTCGTATACAAATGAACTTTAAATAAATAATCTTCGTATTCAGTTTGTGAAAGCTAATAGCAAAATGAATTTTGAACAACCAATTCTCAAAGCTACATAAAGAACGTTAATAAGAAAATTCTTCTGTGCTCGAGCACACTTAAAAAGTACGAAATTCTAAACGTTATTTAACATAAGCAACAGATTCGTTTTACAGGAGTCGAATTTTAATAATGAACAACTGAACGACGGCAACAACAATGAACATTTGACACGTGTGTGTACAGTAACAAACATTTAATTCTTGAACGTTTCGGAAAATACATATTCCATCTTCAGCAAGTTATTAGGTATAAATATTTATACAAGTTTAAACATTTTATAAAAAGTAATTAAAACACAGACTAAAAAGATGAAATCGATTAAAAGACAACCAAATAAACGAATAGGATAATGCAACAATATCATACAAGTGTTCAGAACAGAGTTAATTGTAGTGAACTTGTGTTATTATTTAAGGTTGGGAGTTCATTTATAATAGATAAACTTTCTTTAATTATAAGTTTAATATTTGATTATCCAGATGTGGTGACTTTGAAATTCATAATCAAGACGGGGTGGTTGGTGTTTTCGCTATGTGTGCGAATTGTGGATTTGCTTATATTTTACCAGTTCTGCTTGTTACACCCATATGTTCGCAGGTGTAATTGGCGTATAATTTTGCCAACGTAAATGGAATTACAGCCACCATGTGTGTATTTATGTACGATCCTGGAATGCGTGACATAGGGGTAAATAATAGGTCTTTAAATCGGAATATATTTTGGAAGGTGATTTAAATATCATTTACAGTTGAACTTGTGGATAAAACATTTTAATTATTCTTAAAATTTCTGGCTTCACTTTGAAACTTTGCTTACCTAAAAAAGGAACGATCTGTCTTAATTGTCATTTATCAACAGTGAATAATTTATTTCGGGGTTCAAATTTGTGAGAAGGGGGTTTGCGTGTTAGGGCTTGAATAAAATGCGAGGGAAACCCGTTGTTTATTAAAATGTTCTGTAAGGTGGTGATTTCGGTATGAAGAGAGGGGTAGTTAGAACAGATGTTATATGCTCTGTTGAGAAGGCTGAGTATAAGGTTACGTTTGAAGGAATTCGGAATAAAACTGTCGAATCCGGTATGTAAGCCTGTATTTGTTTTTTTACGATTAACAGGTGTGAAATGGTTATCTAATCTGTTGATTTCGATATCATGAAAAAGCAATTTACCGTGTTTTTTTATGTTGTTGTTTTTGTTTGTTTGTTTTTTTCAGTTTCACAAGTAAAATTGATGTTAGGGTGTTTCGAATTTAAGTAATCCAAAAATTGTTTTATGTGAGTAGAGCTTGGAAAGAGTAAAACATATCTTCAACGTATATATAGCCGGTTTGTATTCAGCAGGACAGGTGCCTTGCCAAGAACGCTCATAGTGACAAAGGAATATGTTAGCGAGAGTCGGTCCTAAAGGTGACCCCATTGCCAAACCATCTATTTGGTCATGTAACTGACCGTTGAAGACAAAGTAATTAGCCTTGAGAGCAAGGTTAAGTAATTCTTCGAACTGTGTGTGGTCACAAGTAAATAGACACCACCTATTCAGAAGAAATGAAAATTTTCAGTCATATT